CATGACTATATATATATATATATAAAATGTACTAATTATATTTTACAATCTAAAAAACTTAAGAGAAATATTTATTAAAAATATTCTAATAAAAGAAAAACTTATGTAAATTATAATGTTTGACTATCATATTTATTCATCTTCGTTGAAAAATATAACTTTTAATTCTGATTCATCAAAAATTAAGTTAGTGATCTCAAAACTTTCAATCGGATCCAATAAAAAGTCATTTCCTATGATATCCCACAATTTAGTTTTCTCTTCTTTGTATTTTGAGGAGTTTCTTAAGAAAAAAAAATGAAGATTAGTTTAAATAAATACTAAATCTTCCACCCTTTTAGGTGTCATCTTATTTCTTTCCAAAGAATGTATAAAATAATAGGTGCTCTAATTCCTTTAACGATAGAGGACATGATTGTCCAAGTACCTTAAGAACTATGTTTTGAAGTTTTGGTGCATGAGCTCCATGAACAATCCCCCATGATTTTGCATCCATTTTATCTCCTTGAAGAGTCAACATTCACAAAATCTTGTCTCCGAGCTGAAAATTTTGCAAACTCTATATTTACTTGTCTCTTTACATTTACATCATTAAAATACCTCTTAAAACATTTCTTCCCTTCATGAGTAAGTACCACATTCTATGTGAAACATTACTTTGTGAATTTTCGTTTAACTATTCAATACTATAAAAAGACCATTCATCATTAATAACAACAATATCTTGGAGCCACTTTTTCAAACTTCTAAATCTTTTTTAGCATGACAATGGTTGAAGCAAATCTTGTTGAATTAATATAAAACAACTTCAACGAAAATTCTTGACAAATATCACTATTTTTTTGGTATTTTTTGTTGCACAAATATTTTTTAATGCAAGACTCAAAGTGTGCACTACATAAGGAATCCAGTATATTGAAGGAATATTCTAATTATATGAACATACTTGTTGCCTTACATGTAGCTACATTATCAGTTATAATTTGCACCACATTTTTTAGTTCAAATTTCATAATTACATCTCTCATGTGTTTAACAATAAAATATTTGTCCTTTATACATCTATTGACTTCTAAAACATTGATTAACTGTAAGTTATAGTAAATTTTTTTTATAAGTGGTCTTCTTTAATGATCACTCCTCCCATAACTAATAATTGTCACACATTTCTTATTCTATATGAGTTTCTAATAGATTGCAAAGATTTTCCACGTGATTTATTTCTTTTGAAAGTAAAGACCCATCAATTTATTATATATTGGTAGTAGATATCCACTAAGATTAGACGTATTGATAACCTAAGAAAATGCGCCACCTATTTAGGAACATATACGGGAATTCAATTTGAATTCTCCCTACTTTTTTTTTTATTGCATCTGAAAATCTCCAGGACTTTAACTCTAACTCAACTTCACAAAATCGGCTTATAAGGTGAGATTTACATCCACTTATAAATTATGAATTGGTCTTATGTGAGACTTCCAACACCAATCTCAATCACCAAACACCGAACTATTATTTGTTTCTTTCACTGATCACCGTCGAGCCGAGACTCCAAATTAGAAGCTTGAAGTCATCAAGTGGAGACACACCAATGTGCGAAACCTTCAATTGCACCCACAAGATGAGAGGAGAAGCACTTCAGTTACTTCAATTGATCTTATTCTTTATAACTTATTATTTTTATGTTTATTTTGTTTCTTTTTGTATGAATTGTACTTAGTTCATTAATATAATCATAAGGATTAGTATATGGATGTCAATGAATTTTGTTTCGGTTATTAGGGCTGAGTCACCAAGCTCCTCCACAATTTGTCTTCTAGCTGTCCGATCTCGCTCCAAGCTCCGTTGTCCACTCTTCCGTCCGGAAAGGAACCTATCAAAGATCCTCCGATGCCAAAGTCAGTACAGAAACCGTTTGGCAATTCAATGAAATAATAATGAGTGTGCAGTAAATGCAACCTATCTACCACTCACCTCTGACCTGTATTTATAGTTTTTGCCATGGGCTTGGGATTAGTGAAAAGTTAATCACGAACCAATTCCAGCCCAATAGCTCTAATCACTATTTACCTTAATCCTAATCTTAATGACCCAGTTTACCGATCGGCCGACCTTGTGCAGTCGTCCGGTCCGTACGGTACACAGTCATTACTCATCCGAGTGGAAGGATGAATGGTCGGGTCACGTAACGTGTAGTGAGTGTTTATGCAAGCTGTCCGACAATGCTATAGGAGTAAAAAAGATTGAAGAAACGTCGACGGTTAGGTTAGTGTTGGCACTGCTCTCGGACCATCCGATCCATATCATACAAATTTATTGTACATTTTTTGAAAGAAAAGTGTAGTTATGTAAAGCCAATCTTGAGTATTAAGTCACCTTGACATATACTTTTACATAGTCAAATTTCTATTATATTATGTTATACGATGTTTGAAGATAACCTTATAAAATTATAATATATTGATATGTAAACACTATACTCTTATTGTACTATTAATTAAACTATAATGTTTAATAAGTTTGAATTAAAAAACAAATACCTATTTATAATAATTTATTATTTTATTATTAGTAAGATATTTTATTTTTTAAGTTCGTATAATTTTTGTACTGTAAATATATTTACAAATATATTATTCTTTAATATATATTTAAATAAACTTCTCTATAGAAACTTCTTTGAGAAAACATCAGAAGGAAAAAAAATGAAATAGTCTTCTTCAAAAAGAAAACAAAATTTACATATTCTTCTTTAAATTTTTATGTTAACTTCGCCATTAATAAATTTATTTCGTTTTTTTCTTTCCTTTTTTCTTTTCTTGCGGAGAAGTTTAGTTAGCCAATGCATATTTCAAAATTTCGGATGAGAATTTTTTTAATAGAATTTTCAGAACATTTCTTCTAGAAACATGGAATGCATTCTATAATGAATTTTATAAAATAAAGATTTTCAAACAAGCTTTCGGAAATATATATAATATCCTTTTGAATACATTTTTTTAAATAAGTTTTTCAGATAAACTTTATATAACACATAAAATACATTTTAAAATGAGTTTTTTTATAAAAGAAATTAAAATGGACTTTCTAAAATATATATAATACCTTTGAGAACAAACTTCTTTTAATAATAGGGAAAGAAAGTGTAGTTGGAGGCAGTAACAGCAAAGAGTAGGTGTATTTCGTGGCTGAAGGAAGAAAACTACGTGACGATTTATATATAATTAGGTAGCAAATTTAAAAAAAGTTAAATAATATCTATATATTAATTTAAAATATAATAAATTAATAAATTAAAAACTAAAAAGACAAAAAAAATATATAAACTATGAACGGATGTGATCACATTGATATGACATATTGGTTAAGATTTTTTAAAATATAAAAAATAATTTTAGAATTTTAAAAAAATACGGTGAGGTAGGAAATAACTTTGGGATGGTGTAACACCCAAAAATAATTGTAAGGAGAAGCAACGCTAACTGTTCTTTTTTTGGTTTTGGGTTATAGCTTCATGCACCCGTATTGTTTTATTCTACACCATAGCTATTTTAAAATGATCTTTTCACCTTTCTATTTTAAATTAACATGAATCTTAAATTTTGTTCAGAAATTTGTAACTTAAAAGTTTTTCCTTAAAAATAGTAATTTAAAATTCTGCGCGTGAGTATGAATTATATAATTTCGAAGGTTAGTTATAATATTTTGAATTGCTAGTTACACAAATCCAATAGAAAATGATTAAATTAAATTTAAACTATAACTTAATTTTTTTTCTTAACTTAATATTTTTTATTTACTTATAATAAATAAAAAGTAACCTAATTTTAGATATTAACAAATATTGTTTTTAGTTTTTCTCTTCACTTACTCTCACACGAGAAATGTTAAAGACTTAACATCAATAAGAATAAGACATGAATGTACACATAAAAGATGATCATACCTTTAACCATAAAGTTGAATGAGTTTGACTCTTTATTGCTATATTAACTCAACCTTCTTAACTCAACTTTCTTATTTTTATTTCAAGCGAAAGTTAAACTAACACTTAATATTTCAACCAAACATAACGACAACGTTATTTAGACAAGGTGACAGTTGGAGGCAGGGGGAAGAGGTGGTTCCTTTGTCAGTTTCTTGTGCAGAAAGATTGTTTGATTATTGAGTGAGAAGTTTTGAAATTTGCGGACAAAGTCTCACGAGCTTTTGTTCACTTGAATGGATTTAGGAGAGACTAATTGAATGAATTTGAGAGGATTTGAAAATAAGTTTTGTTTTTGTTTATTTGAGTGGATTTGAAAGTAGGTGAGAGTGGATTTGGAAGTAAACTTTTTTAATCTATCACATCAATCAAATCCTACATTAATTCTTACAAATGTTGTTTCCAAATTCATTCTCACTTACCTCCAAATAAACAAAAACAAAATTTATGTTCAAATCATCTCAAATACACTCATTCACTCTTCCGAGATAGATACATTTGTGAACCAAATGTAGACTTGTGAAGAGATTATATTCCTCTGCCCATAGCACCAGAAACACCCTGCTCTCTTTAGAATCAGTGTATCTGCTACGTAAAAGCTAACATGGAAAGAGAAACGAATATGCCATTTTCAACACCTTCCAAACTCACACAACCTTTACTTTACAGAATTTCACAGACTCCTCCAATTCTTTCTTCACTCACATCTTCTCTACTTTCACATCCAAAACATCCCCAAACCCTAACCTCCCTTTTACATCAACCTAATAATCTTCAAAAATATATATAATGTTGAACAATAAAAAATCTATAAACTCTCCTCCACTAATTTAACCATGAATACCAACTCAAATTAATCCACCAAAGACACTACAATATTTATATTACATGTTTTCACCAACTTCTTCATAAATATCTTCATAAATAAAATACTCTTTTCTTTTCATAAACTAAAATTAACTTATCTAAATAAGAATTTAAGTAAACATTTTACAATTTAACTGAAGGAGTTCGTTTGTTTTATAGAGCAACACGGTGAAACAAACCCTATCTCTTGTCCCAGCTGCAAAACGGTTTATGGCAGTTAAGCGATGAACTTTGGTCCCGCGACACGGCGTCGTTTGGATGTGCCGTTGTGTTCCAGCAGAGAGTTCAACGAACTGTGCAGGAAGTGGATCGATTCAACGCCGTGATCTTTGTCGGTGGCCACCACGAGGACGTTGCGGGTTCTTCCGCCCAGCGTTGCGATTTCGGCTTTGAGTGTTGTGAGGTGCAGAGACTTGAGAATTTCGACGAGATCAGGGATGAGGCCGGAGCGGTCCTCACAGCACAACGAGGCCTTGAATGTGACTCGTCCGTCACCACCACTCTCGTCACCGCTGGTGGACAGAACGGAGATCTCGTCGGTCTCTGAAGGAAACGTTTCGCATTGGGTTATTTCAGACATCTGTTGCTTCAACTCCTTCAACCTTTCGACCACCTTGGCCAAGAGTGAAGCCTTGTCGGTCTGAACAAAATCGTTGAAAAGCTATTTGACTTTCTCGAAGGTTCAAAAAAAAGCATGAAAGAATCCTAGGGTGGAAGAAAAACAAGAAAAAGGCTACACAACAAGTGTGTTTAAGGTGTAGAGCAGAAAGTAAAATGTAAAATTGTGAGAGAATTAAATTATTTTTCTTCTTATTTTACTTTTAAAAATACATACTTTGTGAAAAAAGATTTAATTTTGAGTGATAAAATTGTATATAATTTATGTGGGGTTATGTTAGAAAAAATCTTTACAATAGAAAATAAAAGAATATTCAAAAGGGTCTTATGATTACATTCATACATACACTATTAAGATGTTTTTATCTATTTATTTTCTTTCTTATGATTAAGATGAACTGATATTATATAAAATGAGCTAACTATTATAGTCAAAAGGTGCAGTCAGTCAAAAAAGTATGCAACCTTTCTGAGAAAAAAGAGAAGAAAAGGAAAACGTTTTACACTATATTGTTGTTAACCTTTCACACGGTTTGTTGTCATTGCAATTGTTTTTGAATGCCCTCAATATGAATGAAGATTGATGGAGTACTATGAAATGAAAAGATTATATATACCTTGGAATTACAAGGAAGGAGAGTGCGAAGCTTATTGAGGTGGGCATTGATTCTTTCCCTTCTTCTCTTCTCAGCCTCTTTGTGGTTCCTCAAAGCAGCAAGGGCTTTATCTTGAAGAGGTGGTGCATGAAATGGTTCCAAAGGGTAAGAAGAAAAGGAAGCAGAGAAGCTTTGTTGCATGGTTGATGATGCAGGTTCAGGGAAGAAAGAATCATTGGTGTTTGAAAGGAACTGAAAGAGGTCAGAGTTATCCATCTCTATCTGATGCTGGATCTCAGATAGTGTAGGTTAGAGGTCAATTTATGAGAGAAGGTGAGAGAGAGTGTGTATCTTATAGTTTCAGGTTTTGTGAATGGTCTTTATACTTATGGTTGTGCTTTTTGACTGCCCTAAGAGAGAGAGAGAGCCCTATCACAAGTGTGGAATGAAATCCAATACTCAAACTTACACACTTTTCGGTGCAATTTTTGGATGATTTTTAGATTAAATATGTTTTTAATTCTTAAATGTAAAATTATAATTTATACTTTTCAAATTTTGAAATAATTTAATTTTTAATTTTTTAAAAAATAGATATAACTTTTTTAATTTATGTTAATGTTTTTACATTTTAAATAGTATTTCAAGTTAATATTTCAATTATTTATATAATTTATTATGTTTTAGTTTAAATACTAATTTAATATATTGTTTAACATGTAAAAAAAATTAATATCATTAAATTAAAAGGTTATATTTATTTATTTTAAAATTTAAGACAAAAATGCATTATTATAATTTAGTACATAGATAAAGATTAATTTTATTTTTAAGTTTAAAAGTTAAAAACATATTTAATTTTTATTTTATATATGTTTTAACCAATACGATTTTTTTTCGAAAAAAAAAAACTCATTTTAAAAATAATTTGTTCAGATAAGTATATTTCCACCTTAATGTTCAAACTGCTAGATCTTTTTATTGTTCACACTGAGATTTGTTCTCTAAAACTAAGAGATACGATTTTTTCAATTTACTTTTTGAAAAAAATGAAAAGCAAAAGATGAAAGGAGAAAATGATAACACAATTCACGAAGTCCACTCTGCGGAAACCAAATTCTCAACGTATGTACATCCAATTGATTTAGTTGATTTATTTGAACAATCTTTCTAAATATTTAATCTGAAAAAACTAATTAATATATCATTTTATTTGATATCTTTCTATATAATAAGTACAAAATTTATATTTTTTTCTCAAGGTATATATATCCTTTGGGTTTTATTTATTATTATTATTATATATATATATATATATATATTTATATTTTTGTATTAACTTTTGAATTCTAACTTACTTGTGTATGTGAGAATATTAAATTGTTACGTTGTCTGATGATTATAGGTGTATTAAAATGTCTGCCTTAAATTGGTTCACTTGATTGCAAAAGGGTCTACTTTTATCCCGACATTATCAAAGTGTTGGGAAGTATTTGATAATATTTAGCTAACCTTAGACAACATATACTTTTGGGAAATGACAATTGAAAATATTACAAAGTGTTCTTCTTTACTTAAAAAATATTGAATGGGCGATGTTTTTCTATAATATCAATTTGTTTTCTTTCTATGCTTTCTCATCTCGCATTATCCATTTGTTATATATCTTTTGAGCTTTTTCTACCATTCATTCTATTTGTAAAATAGACACATATGAATTCATATTCAGATAACCTATACGTACTCAAATTCAATACCAAATCTGAATCTAAATTCAAAAAATTTTCGAAAGCGATTGATGGTAATTAGGTAAGAGTAGGTATTCTCTCATTTAGATTTTTATCGAACCTCGAAAGAAGAAAGTAATTATGTTAGGACTTGTCACATTACAAAAAATTATAATTTTTCCAGGAGTTATTTATAGTATTACTGGCGATTTTAACCCCTAAATTTGTTTCCCGCGGTTACAAAAGTCTCGGAGAAAAGCAGCGTCGTTAAACATTACCGGCGATTTTATATGAAACCGTAACAATTTCTTGGAGTTCTGGTAAAACCGCCGCTATTTTGAAGGATTTTTGAAAACCGCTGAAAATAGCTGGAATTTTATGAAAACTATCGAAAATAGTTGTAGTTTCTTTTAACCGTCCCTATTTCCAGAGGTTTTCTCCAAAACCACCTCTAGAAATATAGTGATAGCTCAAATTTTTATTGATTGTGACATNCTACTTTTATCCCGACATTATCAAAGTGTTGGGAAGTATTTGATAATATTTAGCTAACCTTAGACAACATATACTTTTGGGAAATGACAATTGAAAATATTACAAAGTGTTCTTCTTTACTTAAAAAATATTGAATGGGCGATGTTTTTCTATAATATCAATTTGTTTTCTTTCTATGCTTTCTCATCTCGCATTATCCATTTGTTATATATCTTTTGAGCTTTTTCTACCATTCATTCTATTTGTAAAATAGACACACATATGAATTCATATTCAGATAACCTATACGTACTCAAATTCAATACCAAATCTGAATCTAAATTCAAAAAATTTTCGAAAGCGATTGATGGTAATTAGGTAAGAGTAGGTATTCTCTCATTTAGATTTTTATCGAACCTCGAAAGAAGAAAGTAATTATGTTAGGATTTGTCACGTTAAAAAAAATTATAATTTTTCCAGGAGTTATTTATAGTATTATCGGCGATTTTAACCCCTAAATTTGTTTCCCGCGGTTACAAAAGTCTCGGAGAAAAGCAGCGTCGTTAAACATTACCGGCGATTTTTTATGAAACTGTAACAATTTCTTGGAGTTCTGGTAAAACCGCCGCTATTTTGAAGGTTTTTTGAAAACCGCTGAAAATAGCTGGAATTTTATGAAAACTATCGAAAATAGTTGTAGTTTCTTTTAACCGTCCCTATTTCCAGAGGTTTTCTCCAAAACCACCTCTAGAAATATAGTGATAGCTCAAATTTTTATTGATTGTGACATCTATTACTTTATGCTTCTAGTTCAAATTAGTTTTTCATGTTTAGATAATTAAATACATAAAGGTTAAATTAAAGTTTTAGTTCCTTAACATTTTTTTTGCTTTCTAAATCAGTCTTCACACTTAAAAAATTGTTGAAATAGTTCCCTTTGTCATTTTTTGTCATAACACTTTCATCTGGCTAACTTGGTAGAAATTTCTTTTGTCTATATATTACTTCTTTACTCAAAAGGCCAATTTCACCAAACTATGTGCACCTTTTTCAATTTGGTAAGTGCTTCTTTAAATGCTCTGTCGATCAATGTAAAATGTCGATCAATGTAAAATGTCTTATATGGACTATATTAGTAGAAGGAATTAATTTCAAAACATTTGAGAATGGATGTGGTGATTAAATTAAATACGAGTAAAAACTATACAACTTTAAGGACAAGATTCTAATATAATCAATTAGGTGAGGAGGTGTTATTGCTTTTAAAATAGGATGTCTACATTCACATTTTCTCAAATTTCTTATTTGTAATAAGTGCCATGATGAATATAAAGAGTATGCCAGCTACGAATCATGTTATTGACACTATCATGCTCAAACTTGTTACTAATTTGCTACTGGTGACTTCATAGTGCATGTGAATAAAATCACAACATATCAATACATATCGATCACTATTTTCTTAAGTTGTAATGAATACATTTAGGATTATCATATAACATAGATTTAAAAATAGATGATGAATGAAAATTGTATTTCCAAAATTTATTAACTATCTATTTAAAATTCTAAATCTTGTAATTTACTTTGTCTTCTTTATGTGATACCTAAGTTTTTATTATCTTTTTCACCATGTAGCTATTAGCGTGATGATAATAATAAAATTCTACCAATTAGAATTTTGATTTCAGTAGGTTTTTCCTTTACTTTATATTTTCTTTTATCTTTTAATATTCTCTTGCATGCATGTAGTTTTTTGGGGTATTTTTGTATATAATCTAACATGGAAATATGGATTCTTATTTAAGTCTGGAATGATATGTTTGGTTTTTTTGTCCAAGTTTCTTAAGAATAAGTTAAATACTTTCTCAACACATCTACTTGCACTAGTTTAGAAAAGGTCTTTAACGTCACCCTTTAAACATCCGGTCCTCAAATATCCAACGTAAAAAATGACCGGTGACATTTTTCGTAAATAAAACAGCCATATAGACGTCCGTTCTGGAGGAAACAAACATCTAAAGCCATATAAACCTCTGATGTGGGAGAACAAACTTCTATATACTCATTTTTTAAATCTAAAAAGTCACTTTTTGACT